CCCCCCCCCCCTCCATTTATTGTTTCACTTACCTTGCATCATGCTGCTTATCTCTAATGTCATCATCAATATTTAAATTGCTCTGAAAAGAATTAAGAAACTTGAGACTGCAAAAACATTTAACAAGGTAAGAAAAAATAAATTCGTTTTTTTTCATCTGGCTTTTTAAAAAAAGATCTTTTTCAAATTAAAGAAACTAAGGACATTTTGACTGGCATTAAAATCTCAGGAAGAGATAAACCCAGGCTCACATGTTTCCAGTCATGTTTATTTATAGAGACCAGCATTCAGGAAAGTACATCAGATATCACAACATCAATGAAAGTTAAAGGCAACGTGCCCAGAATGTCATTTTAAAGAATCAAAAGCATATTTTCCGCTCTGATCCATTATCACATTTCAACACTGCTTTCATGATTACTCGGCAGTATCAGGGCTCATGTCACCAGGTATCATGTACATTATGTGACCAAGCAGCTCTCATCATTCACAGTCCAGTTCTGTTGTCCCAGCACCTTGTAATGTGCAGAGTGGGGACTTCTTTCAAAACGGATGAATCAAACAATATTTAAAATGCACAGAGCATCCTTTCTGTAGACAGTTCTGAGTGTAAGTGGTCTGGACTCACCCTGTGGTCTCTGTGCAGCGCGAGCTGTTCGACATGGAGCCGTGGGAGAGGCCTCGAGAGGAGTTCAGGCTGCACAAGAAGCTGGGAGAGGGGCACTTTGGAGAGGTGTGGGAGGCTCTGTGGACCACTGAGAACAAGAAGGTGGCCATAAAGACGCTGAAACAAGGTAGGAATAATGAAGCATGTGACTGACGATCATTTTAGTCAAAGTCAACTAGATTGTCAATCTTTCAGTTTGTTGTAAAGACAGAGACATCAAAATACCGTTTTCCCACAAACCCAAATACAAAAGCAAATATGTATATACCTATACATATCTCTGATGATTGAAGACCATTTTAACTGCTTTTCAATTGTTTTATGAGGAAGATGATGCGGATTGTTTTGAACATTTTGAAAACAGCATTACTTGCATCTATGTCTGCCATCCTGCAATCTTCCTTTATGCATCAAACCTTACACAAAGTAACACCGGCCACCTGTAGATACGTGGAAAACCGTGGGCAGAAATGTGTACAACAATGTGTGCCGTTAAAAACAAAAGGGGAACAGAATCATAACAAATCAGCTCCATAAGTAGAGGTCAACAACGTACAGGGGACTACTTGCAGATGGCAGCCATTAAAGAGTTATTAAACACCTCCTGAAAAGTGTGTGTTTGCTGGCCTCCTGTTTACCCACTTCTGAACACTCCCACCTTTAAAAAAAAAAAGGAAATTGATACTGAAAAAGAAGAATGGTTTCTGTCCTTTCTTTTAATCCTTAACACCTTGCCTAACTGTACCAGAGAGGGCAGTGAAACACCAGCTTCTCCTCCTGGTGTTGGCTTACTCTATAACGCTGTGTCAGGCTGAAAAAACACAATGGACCTTGATATTTGATCGTTTGTGGGTTTTATGTGAGCATGAATCCCTTTTCTGTCTTGAATAACAGAGGAATTAGCGCAATGCAACACAATCATTCTACCTGATTGGTCATCTATGGCAATTGGTAGGCTAGAGATAAATATAGACAGATGAAGGGATAAACAGGATGTACACAAACGTGTGACAGAGAGCAATGTTGATAACAAATGGCAGAAAGAGATATTGAGATAAATGTTACTTCACCCTCCTATTGTCTTTGTTTCCCCCCCCCCTTACTTTGGCGTTCGAGGTCAAATTTGACCGGTCCTGTTTTAACTGTTACATTAACACAAAAACCATTAATCATCACCAAATTTCATTTAACACCCTTTCAAACTGTACATATTGTATCAGACTACTGGTATACATGACTTGTTAAACTGGGTAAAGGGTAAACAGAAAGTACACGGGTAGAGGTGTACCTAGTAGTGGGACCGGTGTGCGTTATGTACAAGCACAGCATTTAAGAACATATAANAGAGCGGGAAATGTGTCAAATTGTTCTGTGTGTGTTTGTATGTGCCAGGTGTGATTCACATGGGGGGGATTGGGCACATAAGGGGGGGGACACATCTTGTGTGTCTGTGTCTGTCTGTGTGTGTCTCCTTTTCTTTATGGCGGTCATTTTTGACCGGGAACACCATGGGTGTTACAAAGTTGACTAAATCATCCGAAATTCAACGAAAGTGGTGATCAGCAATTGTATATGTTCACATGTCTACTGTGAAGGATATCATAAAGCCTTAATGAAATCGAATGTAAAACAAAAAAGTTATGATTGATGAAAGTAGTAAATCGGTCAGATTTGACCCGAAGACAACAGGAGGGTTAAGGAATTTATTGGCCTTGTTAAACCAATCGTGCCAATGGGAGAAAGTCCTTGACCCCGTCCAGCACGAATAAATAAACTCTCTGGAGGAAGTGGCCCCTGGAGCGGTGTTTTTCTGAGAGTGGATGAAGACCCCCAAGTCTGGTCATAGAAAGATTTAAAGTAACTGGGGCCTCTTCTGGCATTTTAGGAATCCTTATCTGTTCTGTGAGACAAATGATGCAACTTTACAGTTGACTACTCAGTTTTTAGGGTATTGTTTACAAAATACATTTTTAACCAATGAATATTTCTTATGGTTATTTAATGGGGTAAAAGCTTTGTCGCTAGTGGGGTTGGGCATTTAATAACAATACATTTAAGGTACCAACCTAAAAGTCTCTACAGCTACAGTATATACAGCTGTGCAAAAATATATCTTAAAATACCATGTCATATTCGTAAATATCAATCTGGTCTCTGAAAATTCCCAGTTTTAAAACGTTTTTAAGGCAATTTTAGATTTTTTTTATATGTCTTGGAATAAGGCGTTGAGAAAAGTATAATTATTGGTGATGATACAGAAACTAGAATTAGACAGATAAATTAGACAGCCATTTATATTTTGGCAATATTAACTAAATATACATTATTTGCATATCATATATGCCGGCTGTTAAGTAAAACAAACATTGTAAATTGTCCTGATTAGTTTGTTTTTCCGTCTCAATTCTAGAAATAAAAAAAAAAGCTTAAAATCAAGATTGCCTTTTTTTTTTTTTACAATGTTTGGGCACTTTGCCTTTATTTGTACAGCTGAAGATAAGAAGTACATGGGCAAAGAGTGGGGGGGGGGGCATGCAGCAAAGGGCCAGATTCAAACCTGTACTTCTAAGGATTAATAACCATAAGTACAAGATTTGGGGTTATTTACTGTATGGGTATAATTACTGAGGTCTGATTTTTTTGAACTTCAGGTTCAGCCTAAAAAAAATGTTGCTGATCATGCAATATTAAAATAGGAGTCTCTAGGATCGCAAAGATTTATAACAAAATCTAGACCTTTCATTACTTGAAAATATTTAAGTTCTCATAACTAAATTACAATGTCTTTAAGACTGCCAGACTGCTTTCAGTCTGAAAACTGGATAAATATTTCAACTGATTTTTCAATTAATAAACTAATCGGTTAAACAATCAAGTGGATTTCAGTAAGAAAAGAGTTTCTCTACTCCTCATGGATGCTCCTGACGTCTGGAGCACCAGTAAAAGGAGAGCTCAGTTTTCCATGTGTACATGCTCCAGTCATTAAAAGGCTCCAGTCAGGTTTGTCGTGGCTCCCCACCCTCTCCCACAGAAAAAAGCTCAGCTCCTCTTTCATTCAGAGATGTATCTGTCCACAGTTCCATTCACAAAAAGGGTCCCTGTTAGCCCAGATCTGCGTCAGATAGAGGGTGTTTGAGCCACTGCAGATACCTGCTGACTTGTTGACCTGTCGCTATGGATACACAACAATACCAAGGCAAAAGGAAACTTAGAGAGACGTGGGGCCGGGAGGGGTGACGTTTGCATTGGGAGGGACAAAGAAAGTGAACAAGGAGAAACGGAAAGAGGAGGAGATAGATAACGTCTGAGTGTAAATGTGCGTAAAGGTGAACTGGGTTGGAACAAAATGGCTCTCTTATCAGAGTGGCACACCCTCTCTCTGCAACAGGAAGTTAAAGAATGAGCCCTCATCAGACTACAGAAATACCTACAACCCTACGGTCTGCCAAATCCACTCCGCTAATAACTAACTACAACCACTTCAACTAACCAACCTATATCAAGCCCTGGGGTTCATTTACTCACTGAGAAAAATATGAAGCGCCAACAAAAGAATTCTATAAAAATACATATCCCTCCATTACATTTCATTTAGCTGACACCAAAGCTAACTTACAATAACTGCAATCAAGAGGATACACATTTAGAATATCAAAAATATTTGTATAAGTACATTAGCTTAAAATAGGGCTTGGCTAGGCTAAACACACACACACACACACTTCAAATAGGGCTTGGCCACACACACACACACACACACAGTAACTCACTCTGTGTGACAGATGAATACCTGCCTGCCTGCCTGCCTCCCTCCCTCCCTCTCTCTCTCGCTCTCTCTCTTCCACAACGCCAACATCTGTCCCGGTTGAAACAGCTGTTCCTTCACAGGATGACTGCGTCAGCGTCTCACAAACACATGTTTCGCTTTCTACCCGACAATTTACTCCTGAACAGTTGAGAACAGTCACCGCCTGCGGCTCATGGTCACACTGATGTCAGCCCCAAAGAATACGAGTGTCGCTCTGCAGCAGCCGGGGGGGCCGCGTGCTACTGAGTCACCATGAAGTCATACAAACTTGCTCAATAAAATCATCTTAAAAAGATCCTTTAATTATGAAATAGCAGGGCTCTTTAACATTGTAGATACCCAATTTGGCAAAAATGCCCACTGAAGTCAAGATGCATGTTGGTGCCTGTATTATTGAACTCATTTATTTGCATTATGTGTACATGTATGTATGTATGCGTGTTTGCATCGATAAATCCATTGCAAAGCTCCTTTGAGTATTTTGAAAAGCGCTTTATAAAGTACATTTATTTATTATTGTTATATATTTTTGTTCCAGGAAAAATATGTGAGCAAAGCCAAATGTCACAATCATGTAATATTGGTTGGATCAATTAAAACTGCTATAATTACTTTAAAAGTGTATATCTTGAACTTGTTAACCAACAGTTGCTTATCAACACTTTCAGTGTTTAAATTACAGTATTATCATTTATTAGGAAACGTTGTGTCTCCACCTGATCGATATTATGTTTCGTAATGCACGATCACGTTCCATGCTCTCTTGAGAAATCTGATGTACAAATTCATCGGTATAACTGCCTTTTTTTTATTTATATTTGAGTGTTGTATGCAGTGGCGGCCGGCCCATAGGGGCGCTGTCCCCCCTCTTCCCACATGTTTGATTGTCATTACAAATTAAAAAAATATATTTGTATTTTATTTTTATCTTTATTTTTAAAGAACAAGGTAAATAGTATATAGTTGGTATCAGTAAAATGTATAATCTACAATAAAATCTCGTTTAAAATTGTTTTACGATGTCTAAAGTTACTGATAAGTCACATGTTTCCTGCCTGGCCGCAGCGTGTATCATTACCCTCTCTCGTCCGGGCGGTAGAAAGGAGCCCTCAGCCAGAGCAGCAGCAGCCAACAAGCTGACTGTTGCTATCTGTAAACTATGCCGCCGAAACATAATTTCAGCCAATCAGCGTCGTCAGATCTGATGCTCAAAGGGCGCCCTGTCAGCGCCCTGGCCTGTGAGTTGTTTAGACTCGTATCCAAGGTGACGCTACAGTAGTTGCAGGTGGAGACTCCGGTGCTAGTGGATCGCCGGAGCTGTAGATTAACATTTACATGCTTATTG